TTTTCGCTGCAATGAAGGAGAAAGACCCAGATGACGGCATCACCTGGGCTACACGCGGTGACAGCCCCGTGGCGGACGATCCCCTGGAGTTCCTTGGTATTTGTGGGCCCGGGTCCAATGACTCGTTTCCCTCTATAGCCGTTCTCCCATCGACCCAATGACCCAATAGCCGATTTGGACACCGGCGGAGACAAGCTACTCCCGGCTTAACAGCATGCTCCCATCGCCGGCCACCCTTCGGCGCTTGGTGCTCTGTTTTATGACTTGCCGGGGATTATCACTAAGGCAGCAGGCCCTAAGGGCATCTCCATTCCCACGGCTGCCCCACCCCCTGCCCCTTTGAAGATTACTACAGATCGGAGCAACTGAGTAAGCCTCCCCTGGTATGGCCCAGTTTCCCTGCTATTCAGCCCTTCTTCTCTGAGGCGGGAGAATGGCCTGGGGGCCTGCGGCCTCCAGTCCCCCACTACGAGACATTCACCAGAGTCGAGGGGATGATTGACTTGGGTTTCCCCGCCGTACCGCCGCTAGAAACTAGTATTTCCTCCATCCTGCTCCCTAAGGCAGCGTTCTTTGGCAAACGGCGGCCCATTCCTCCACTGCCCTGAGACCAGGTCATCGCTCAGCTCACGGACCGCATTCACCAATGCACCTCCCAGGCCGGAGCCACAGTCAACAACATTGCCCTCCTCTCCTCGTCTGTGTCCTCTCTCGCCACCCAGTCTGGGGCCCTCCCCTCAGAGGCGGCAGAAAAAATCGTCAAAGCCATGGCCGTGGCACTTGCACTGATTTCCGCTGCAGCCGTAGCGACAGCTTGCATCCGGGCATGGGCTACTATGATTCAACGGAATATATGGCTGCATATGTCCAAAATGCCAGAGCAGAGTAGCTTACTGGAAGGACCCGTCAACTCAGAGGTCTCTTTGGGCCACACCTCCAGGAGGCTCTCTCTCACCTGCGGCTAGCAGCCAATGAAGTGGAGTAAGTTCGTCAGCTAGCGTCATGGGGACAACAACAACCTCGCCCTTCCCGACCGGACTGGCGTGAGCAGGGCAAACAACACTACAGGGCCAGGCACCCAGCAGCCACTGCACCATGGCATCCCCCTCCACCTGACCCTGCCCCCCCTCCTCCTGCTTCTTTCCCCGGACCGGACGCCCCCAGGCGGGCCCACATGGGGCGACGAGATGCCAGCACCTGCTCTAACCCACAGCCAGGTCCCCCGCAAACAGCGACGGCAATGACGGGCCGCGGGGAACGTGTGTGATCCAGCTGTTGAAAACAACGGCCCTTCTCAGGGCCACCACCTGCTAAATAAAGAGCAGTTCCCAGACAGCTGTCTTTTCTCTGTCTCTGGATGTTCACAATTTACATGCACACACGTCTCCCCACACAATGTCTCTTCTCCCATGCACACTGCGCTGGGGGACACGTTCACCCTCTCGTCCTCCTCACAGCAAAAATATAGCGGCACCGCTGCTTTATCTGACACAGACATGCCTGTGAGTCTATGTGGCCTCCTCACCCCTCACCCACTGCTGCATACGAGCGGCGGTTTCTCTCCCACACAGGACGTGAACAATGAAGCCTATTATTATTACGGCACGATCCAGCAGTTCCCCGTGATAGGTCAGCGGCTGTGGGCCTGGCCCCTGAACGGGAATGGCTGGAGAGCATAGGATTGCCTCCAGCGGTGGTGCACACTATTCAGTACGCTAGAGCTCAGTAAAACGCCTCTTACGCTGCAAAGTGGTCAGTTTTTCAGCGATGGTGCATGGAAATAGGCACAGCTCCCACCTCCTGCCTAGCGCTCAGGTGCTGACGTTTCTACAGACCCTGGTTGAAAGAAACCTGGCTCTGTCTACCGTTAAAGCGTATGCCGCCGCCATCTCATCATGCCATGAAGGTTTTGGCGAGAGAGCCGTATTTGCACACCCACTGGTAAAACATTCTCAGGGGTGTGGGCAGACTGAGACCTGTGTTGCGCACAATGGTGCCACAGTAGAATCTGCCTCTGGTTTTACGCGTGCCTAGCGGGCATCCTTTTGAGCCCATGGCACACATCTCTCTCAAACATCTCTCCCTGAAAACAGCACTCCTCCTAGCCTTGACTTTGGCTAAGCGCGTGGGCGATCTGTGTGCACTGTCTGTCTCACGGGCGTGCCTCCTTATCCGCGGAGACGGTAGTGTGGCCATTCTCAGACCGAACCCCGTATGCACCTAAAATTATATCGTCCTCTTACCGATCCAGAGTTATTTCTCTGGATGGGTTCTTCCCTCCTCCTCACGGAGACGAGGCAGAGAGGAACCTCCACGCCCTCTGCCTGGTGCGCGCTTTGTCCCATTATGTGGCACGGCAGCTGTCAGGCAGACACAACAGCTGTTTGTGCATTACAGGAGCCACTCTCTTGGGCAGCCTTTAACAAAACAACGGCTGTCTCACTGGCTGTGTGAAGCTATTACACAGGCTTACATATCGGCCGGGAGCAACCCCCCGCCTGGCATCAGAGCCCATTCTACAGGAGTCATCGTGTCCTCCACTGCCCTTCTTAGAGGCATGGCTGTGGAAGATATCTGCACGGCAGCCTCCTGGGCTTCCCCTTGCCCCTTCACCCGGTTTTACCCTCGGGATACATCCGAGTTCTCACTGGCTCACTCGGTCCTGAGTGTCGCGCGCGATGATGAGCTCCTTCCACGTCGTGTCATGTGAATGCCCCGTCACTCGCTCAGGCAGCAAAATGAACAGCCAAACTCCAACCGGTTGTGAGATGTGTTCTTTTATTTGAGACGAGAAGACTAGTAAATGGATATTCCACAGTGCGAAATTTATCATATCAAAATAAGCATGTGCACATGGATCTTCACTGTTTAGGAAAAACAGAAAAGACTGTCCTCAACTTGTTGGTATACAATATTTGTATCCACAGGTGCTACTATCTGATTGGTCAAAAACTGTTGGGGAGGAGCCATGGTTTAGACGTAGCTCTCCTGTTGTTGGTCCTTCAGTCCGTCCATCTTCCTATGTCCTTTCTGCTCCAATCGTAGAGGACAGCACCCTAGGAAGGAGAGGAATACTTATACTGCCTTAATTTCTGCATAGACACTCACTTCTTCCTTTGTTTCTAACTAACTGCTCCGTATTAGGCATTGCTTTCTGGTTCCTATTAAAACTACCCTGCCTGTGTGTGTGCATATGGTTCTACCTTTGAAGTTTTCTCCTCTTCCTGGCTTCAGATCTAATCTCTCTTTACTAACCATAGTGTCACAGTGAACCCTAATTCCCCTGGGCTCATCAGCCAGGTGGTGATAGTAAAGTCACTGTGGACCCTCTTTGCCAAAGCTGTAAATCTAATGAGATTCAGTTAAACAGTGCTCTAGTTGGCTAACACAATAAATATTGACCAGTGATTCAGTGAATACATAGGGTGATATGTAACTACATAAACATAACTGTGAAATAAAAGTATGTAGACTTATGTGTGCTATAAAATAAAAACCTTAACTAATCCTATTCATATCTACTTAAAAATAAAAATCACCCTAACACGGTCTGATCGCTGTACACTGGTGCGGTGTGTGCCCTGCTACACTAGCACACACATTCCATGCGCCCCTCATCACACCTATGCCCCAATGGCCATCTTTTCTGTGATACGCCCATGGGCGCCTGTTCTTTTCGCCACGCGCTGTGCACTGGTGGAGTGTGTGCCCTGCTTCATTCATACACACACCCCATGCGCTCCCCATTGCACCTATGCCTCCGTAGTCACCACTACTGTGATGCGCCCACGGGCGCCTGTCTTTGCTACGCGCGGC